CACGACCGTCCGTATCTTCAAATATTATGTCCAGGTTCGCTAATGCAATACCTTTGAGTTCATTGATGAGCATGTCGTTGGTGCGCACCAGCGACTTGCTACGCCACGACATGGCGCCGCCAGGGGCGCCAACGCCGCCGCCCCGTCGCCTGGCGATGGCCCACAACGTCACTTCATATTCCTCTATACAATGATTTGCATTGGACTTAACCTACGCAACAGAGAAGCTCATTTTTTAAATTTATTTTTCCCCGTTGGAACTCAAGTCTTCTCAGGCTTTTTAGCTTTAGATGCTGATATTTCTGGATTTGTGAATTCCTTGACGGACTGATTTTATTTTTTCTCTTTGTCGTATTTTTACTCTACCTCTCTCAACTCAAGTAATTATTGGAATCACCTCAACAATACGATCTCTAATTTTCGGTCATAGAATCTAAGTTAAAGTTTATTTTAGGCTTTAACTTTGCTCGCACACCATGTGATTTTGTACCAGAAAATCGGGATGCCTTTGGGTGGTTGGGAAATGTGTTGCGCATAACTCTGTCAGATTATAAACTTCTAAGTTCAAACTTGATAAAAACGATATGAGTGTTGTGCCATTCTGGAGATTATTAGTCAGGGCCGGCGGTTGGTGTAAAGTCCGAATGGGTAGGTGCCCCCTGGTGTGGGTCCCTCTTCCTTCCCACTCCCCCTCCATCACACACCGAAAATGTATATGATGAGAAAAATACAAAACAGAAGTTTTTCAAATTGTCGTTTTTGTCATTAAATTGTTATCCCATTTATTTGTCATCACATTTATTTTTGTGAACTTCAGCAGTGTTCATTTCTGCAACGCAAAAACAGCTCTGCCCATTGAATTTTTTGTATAAACTCAGTTAACAATTTTTGAAAATAGATTTTGTCGGTCATGGTGCTATAAACATGTGAAATCGCAATACTGTTCAGAAAATCTTACATTGTTGATCCCATATACGTTTTGAGTCGAAGCAATACCGAAAACTTCGTTCATTTCTGGAATTTGACGTTTGTGGAATATTTCAATTCACATACCTAATAGCCACCGTATCCTAAGCCACGTACAAGTTGAATTCTGAATACAGAACAATTTAACGTTTTTGGCAATTGGTTTCTGGATGAAAAGTAATGCTTTTTGTGTGAATAATTTAATAGATTGTATTTGAACATTTTTCATAACTTCGGAAAACTAAGGCGCGGCAATCCCTTCATCTCCCTCCGAAATTTAGCAACGAGCTTCACAAGTTGTGGACGCTACGCCCAATCCAAACCATTGCATGTGTGCAGTGCTCCACGCAAAAATGTGATTCGCTGTCGTTCCTGCTGCTAGTTCAGCAGACCGGAGCCCTCATCAGTGTTAAACTCGAACAAGCAAATCAACTCCACCCCATAATAAATCGTCATTCTTGTCTTTCTGCCACATGCACACTTGCTCTGTTCAAAATAATCATACGATCTCTGTTATTATAATGCTGGTTGAAAAAAACTGCGATATTTCGACTGAGAAACTTCCATTGCCCGGCCATAGTAACAAAAACGTAGATAAACTTTGTTCCTATAAGTAGTGAATTACTTATTCTTACTCGTAATGTAGTCAGCATCCACTTGTGAAGTGTCCTTGTGAACGAAATCCACTTGTGAACGGATATTTTGATTTCGGTCTACTCTACAAGAAACCTCAACATCTTCAAAATTTATTTAAAAATGGCATATGCCACATTTTCATTGAACTCCCTTAATTTCCGAAAATAGCGAAAATTCAAAATTTTATCGGCATATTTCTACAGCTACAATTATGAAGATAAACATTTTATAATGCGAATGAATGAATGAATGATGAGTGAATGAACGAATGATGAATGAATGATGAATGAATGAACGATGAATGACGATGAATGAATGATGAATGAATGAACGATAAATGACGATGAATGAACGATGAATGAATGATGAATGAATGATGAATGAATGAATCCTCAATGAGATGCATTCATTAGAAACATTTCTTCACATAAGGTCATGTTCAATTTTTAAAAAATGTGAGTATTTTTGCGTGAAGCAGGTCTCCGCAATTTTTAAACGATTTTAACAATTATTTTCGCAAAAGCGACTTCAAGTTTTTGCTTCAAATTTTTTCTTGCATGAATAAAAGAACGGAAAAGAAAGTGGTTTGGTGGCATTATCTTTGAACTCTCTGAATTTTAGAACATTGTCAAATGTATATTTTTGGTGTCTTCCTGTAACTACAATATTCAAGATAATATTGTTTTGATGAAACCTGATCAAAATTAGATCTTCACAGAACTTCGTGTTGAACTTTTCGAAAATATTTACAATGTTTCCGTGAAACATTGGCAATTTTTACACATTATAACAAGTTATTTCATCAAAAGCAACTCAAAACTTTTCTGTGCATTTTTTCCTCGCATGAAGCGACGAACGTTAAAGAAAGTGGCTCTGATCCCATTTTCGGTAAAGTCTGTATTTTAAAAAATCGCAATGAAAAAAATTCGCATTCAAAACTACAATAGTGATGATATTTTTTGGTTAACTGAAATATATTCTAGAAAACGTTTCTTGAAAAAATTTCGAATTTGCGTAATTGAATTTCATGCACATTTTTTTAGAATCTTTCCGGAGTTATGAAGTTGCATCGCAACAATGCAACGTCGCGGCAGGGCGTTTCAGATTCTCAGATAACTTCTTATTGTTCCATTGTTCCTGGCACTTCGTAAGAAGAGAATCGTGCGCCGGAAAACGGAGAATTTTCGTGAGAAAACTCGTATTGCCGGGCCCTGGTAGCGTAAATATGAATAAATCCTATTGCTATATGTAGTAAATTACTTCCTCAAACACGAAGCGTAGCCAGAATCTGTTTTGTGGGTCCTTGATTCCGAAAAATGTATTGAACGCAAAACGTCAGTCTGTGGTCAACGGTAGTGCCAAAACAGTTCTGCCGATTTTCTCCAAAATTCCCCGTTCGATCTGAAAGAGCCCGAGGCGTTGGGAATTTCAAACGGATATCTTACTTTTTTAGGGTACTCAACATGAATTTTTCCAAATTTGCAAAAGGCCAATTTATTGGGCTTTTCTTAAAACTATGACTTTGAGAATATAGATTTTTCCTGTGTTCGTGTGTGGGCGCGCGCGTGCGTGCATGTGTGTTTTTCTCCGATTGGGTTTGTCCTGCCTGAAATAGATTCTTGCTTTTGGATTCTTCATCATTCGTATAATAACGGTGGATAATTGTTTTCATTAGCTGTAATTTAATTTGCTTATAGTAGGACATACAAAATTATCAGTAAATAGCAGTGGCGGAACCAGGAAGCCATGTCCGTCCTCCCCCCAAAATGGCCTAGAGTTATCGTTCGTTACTTTCTTTTATTTGGCAAAATTGATTTGAATATTTATTTATGTTAACATTCTGTAATTAATAAAAATAATTTTGAATGGTATCATATATACTGTACAAAATTAATCTATAAAAACAAATGTTTATTATTATAAAAAAATATATCATGGCCCCTTCCGAAATGATCGGGTGGATCCGCCCCTGGTAAATAGGTGAATAGTAAATACTTAGCAAGTTTAGCGTAGAGTTTTTGGCAGTAACATCACAAAACGTTTTATCAGACACGACCGCAGAGACTGTACCGGTGTATACTCTTTGGTCTGCACTTTGCTCTACACTCTCTGCCTGTACCGACAGCTTCTGAAAATGGCGGCGTTCGGATCCAAAATAAAAACAAATGAAGTGAAGAAAACATGGCGGGGAAAGGTAAGTGTTATCTTCTACTTCCCTTTTGTAGTATTATTTTAAAGTCAAATGAGGGCCTGCTCATTGATTTCACATTTATTAATTTGTTGTTTTTTATTTCAGGTGCTCCCGCAGAAACAGAAGATCAGCAACGACTCCGATTCCAAGTGGAATTGGAATTTGTTCAATGTTTAGCTAACCCCAATTACCTCAATTGTAAGTTTCCTTTACAAATCATAAAAACACATTTATTTGTTTAAGATTTATTAGTGTAAAAATGAATTAATAAATTAAAAGTATATGCATCTAAAAGTTTTGAATTTAAATGATTTACTAACATGACATCATTCTTCACTATTGGTATTGAAAGATGATTGTGAAGGAATAAATGAATGTGGGTACTTCTTAATAGGTTTTAATCAACGGAAATAAAATTTCAAGCCTCTCAAATGTATACTCGTGTACTTTTTAGTGCTTACAATTTGTGAGCCTGCAATCAATACACTTGAATTACTGTTGAGGAAGGAATTAGTGTTATATTTAGAAATCTTTCTGTCTCTCTTTTTACTGTTTTATCTTCCAGTGCAAGAGGAAGTATAAGATTTGTTTCTTTGTATAAGCTCACATGTACCTTGCACCTCGTGAATAGAAAAAGATATAAAGAATTTAGTTTTTAAATTAAACAATTATAAACAAACTTGTCTGATGAATTGTGTTGTATAATATTATATACTCACTTGTGTGGGCCACATGATTCCAACAATATTACCAATGGGTGAGAGGCATATGGTGGTGGAGCTCTCTCTCTTCTTGTTCTGCCTGTTTAGGAAGAGCAAGACCTTCCTCTGATCAGAGTATTTTAGTACCCTGTCTCTCACTGCAATATTTCAGAAAACAGTAAATGGCCTTTCGTGTATAACAAAGGAAAATTATGCTGAAACAAGAGATATTGTTTATGTCAATGTTGCCCAATTTTAGTTAAATAAAAATTAATAAAAATTGTTTCACAATTTAGAAATGAACAGCTGTTAATGTTGCTTCCTAGAAGTTTAATGTATTTATTTATACAATTAATGAATCCTGGTTCCATAGTGCTTGGGAGATTTGAAGAAGAAAAAAAATAATTTTTTTTCACCAGTGGGGGGCAATCAATTTAGAGCAGCACATTAATTTTCATTATGGGTAATATGTGTGTGTCAATTAATTGTTTTCTGCTTTCATCAAGTTTTAGCCCAGCGAGGTTATTTTAAGGATCAAGCTTTCATAAACTATTTAAAATATTTATTATATTGGAAGGAACCAGACTACGCTAGATATCTCAAGTAAGTGAAACAGATTTTCTTTCTATTTCCCATCTTCATTAACACTTATGTAATGCTATACAAAAAGTAAAGGTCCCTTTGAAATACATTGTTATTGCTTTTTTTGAAATAGGTATCCAATGTGCCTATATTTCCTGGATTTGCTGCAATATGAACATTTTCGACGAGAGGTAGTGAGTGCCCAGTGCACCAAGTTCATTGATGATCAGCAGATATTGCTTTGGCAGCATTACACTCGCCGGAGAACACGCCTTCTTCAAGCTGCTGCAGAACAGGGGCAACAATCTCAGCAGCAGCCTGCGCAAGCAACAGGCACTGCTAGTGTTGCAACTAATGGTCAGAGTCATCCTCAAAAGGTGTGATGTGTTCAATGATTTTTTTTTTTTTAAACGTTGGACTGCTGGTGATTCCCAGGTTTCTCAATTTTACAACAAATGTGTAATTGAGCCAAACAGATGCTTCGTTTTGTGTTTGTGAGATTCCATTTTGTACATAATTTAGCTATAAAATATTCTTCTTTTGTAAATAAATAGTTTCTGATGAACTTTTGTGTGTTTTATTGTTTCCAAACATTGCTAGGTTCTTTCAGGTTATTCCCTATTCATATTTATACTACTCCCTACTTACATTTTTAAATTTTAATGTTTTATCAATGTTAGTGTTCAATATTAGAAGGTTTTTGAAAATATTATTCATGATATTTTCCCCCCCTAAATAATTAGAACTTCTTTTAGAAAATGGAACTGAATCAGGGTTATGTTTAATAATTACTTGATTTTGGGGGATTTTTTTGAGCGATATCTGATCTCGAGGAGAAGTTTACTGAACTACAGGCTGGGACATGTTGCTTGACAGTATTCCACTGACTAGACGCAGGTAGTGTTTTGTTTTAAGATTTACGTTGATAGTGAATTTCATTTATTGTTACCTGTTTGTATAGACTAAAAAGCAACCATTTGCACAGTTACGATCAATGAGTGGAACAATATGGCAACAACAGGGTGCATCAAGTTGCTATGGGAAAGTGAGAGCTTTCTTAGATCAGTTTAATGAATGCCTTTGGGAAGCAAGGTTCCTCTGAATGGCCAAGTGTTTTCTCTGGATTTCATCCCAATTAACTTTGCAGTGTAAGGAATTTTAAAAGAAAAAGCTTATTCACAAAAATTCAACATTGCACCTTTTAAAAGAATAAACTACTTCTAATTTGTAGTAATCTAACTTGTAATAATTGTGGGGTTCAAAGGTAAAGGATGCAAAGTGACATTTTCAGAAGAAAAAAAAAAAACTGTGTATCTTTGTACTAGATATTCAATACTATTTGATAAAATGTATTCCAAGCATTACCTGTTATGTCTGCTGATATCTGGAGTATTCAAAAGGTCAACTGCTTTTGCGATTTATTGTCGAGTGCAAAGAGTATATTTCAGTTGAGTGACTTTGAGTTATGGCTCTCTGGTATATTAGGATATTCAAGAGCAAATTATATTCTATTGTTTACATAGCCTGTCACTTCATTATCCTGATTGCATTTCAAGATAAATATTTTGTGCATGTCAGAACAGAAAATGGCATTTGAGAACAAGCATAATCATGTTGCTGTGGTTAGCTTGTACAACTGTGAGTGTAACATGTTTCCAGCATTGCAATATCTAGCCAACTATACCATTTAATAGCTACTAGCTAATAATTGTTTATGTTTAAACGGTTCAAATTATTGACAGCTTTAGCTGGGAATTGAGGCCTGTGACACACAAGTGTTGCATTAACGTAAGTAATAGATTAACACTATCATATTTGGAATGGCCAAAGCATGGGTTGTTTTGCATAGGATACAGTGTTATTTTACGACATGTCAATGCAATGCTTGTATGCAGGAGTTCTGAATGCAGATCTCCCAGAGGCTCTCCTGTTGGAGCTATGGAGGCAGTCAACTCTTCAAATACCATTTCGGGGCATCACTGTAGTAATTCTAGCATATTTACTTTGTTGTTATTGATGACAGAGCAACCGAGCATGAATTAGGAAATGAGTTTGCACTCAATTCTTTGAACAGGTTAGACATTATTTAATTTAAGGGTAAGTATATTTAAAACCATTAGAAGACTTGTGCTGTACATGACTACCTTTTCTACATGTTTGCTCCATTTCTTTTAAAACCTCATATATAGCATTTTGATTTATATTCTAGTGTTAATATTTTCTCTTTCTTATTTTTTTCTGAAGGTAAAAATTTCGTACAAAAAAAAATTATTGATTTTTCTTTAAGAATAGAGGACTATTTCAAAATTAAATATTCAGATTAAGTTTAAATAAGCACAAATTACTGGCAAAGCTTGTGCTAGATCATTATTCCTCAAATTTCAATTTCAATTTTATTAATTTGGGAGTCTGATACAATGTGCATTGCAATAGAACTTGACTTGGTTGAAGTAAGATGGTTCAAATATTTGTACTTCACCAGTTTCTATTTACAGTAGTAGCTCGTGTACAGCAACTTTTTAAATCCTTTTATAGTCAGATATTATTTGAAGTGTACATGTAAGGGCTAAAACTCCTAGAGGCACAAGTCATATTTAATAGTGTGATAGAAGTTGGAGAATGAATCCTCCAACCCTTCATTTGATGTTTAATTTTGCAGTAATTCTAGAACCATTACAATCTTGATTAATTCAATATTGTAAATTTAAGTATTCAGCAACTAATCGCAGTTTAACAAATAAATTTTCCATTCTGACTTACTTTCTTTAAGTCAGATCTACTTTTTTTATTTGTTAGGTATATTTTATTACCCTTAGAGGATTTATGTAGTGCACTAACCGCCTACTTAGGGTTACAGGTTAGAACCCCTTTCGACATCAGCATTTTGTCAGAATTTGTTTCCCACTTTCAGGACCCTCTGTACGCGTCATAGCAGATCTCATTTACTTTCTTGGAAACTGGGAGATGACATGGTGAGTACAAATCAGTTAACCAAATAACATTTTCTATTTCAAATAACTTTCATTCTGTAAAATATGAACTTCCTGTATTTGTTTGAAACATAATTTACTTAAAACATTTTTCTGTCAAACAATTCAGCCTTTTTACTTGAAAGTACACCCGATGATGTAACAAATATAGAAATTATTTTTCTTCAATAAATAATTGTCATAAAAATAAAGGATATGCTTTTCTATTAATGATATTAAAACGAATTTTTGGAACATGAATGCAAATACATTTTTTCAGAATCAAACAAAGGTACTGAGAGAGAGAGAGAGAATCCAGTTTTTGAAGTGGGCTTTTACACAATCTTTTCATTGAAGCTTATCTTTGTAAGGAACACTAGGTCAAAAATAAGAGTCACAGTCATTTAAAAAACTTAATCTCCAATTCAATTGAATAATCTACACATTTGATTATTAACAAACATTTGTGTGATGAACTGTAATGTGAGTGTTTTATGGTTTTTGTAAAGTTTCCTAATCGCTTCTTCATCTTGTAAATGGGAATCACACAGTACTTGTGGTTATTTACAATTTTTTCTTCTTCACATATCACAATATATTCATTTCAAATATTTAGAGATTCATTTTCACATATTGACTTATTTTTTAGCCTTTCTCGACATTTTTTTCTCTTCAATTTTTTCTTTTCTGCTTTATCTTCTGGAGTTAATACTTGGAGATTATCAGTTTTGTTTTTCATTTTCTTACCTGCAAAGTAGAAAGAGTATTAAAGAAAGCAGAAAACCAAAACTATAAGCATTACATATCAATTCATATAAGGCCATTAAATTAATGGCATCTTGCATTTTGAGAAACATTTTTGACAGTTTTCTGTTGATGAACTAATACTAAACCTATATGAACAATGTGTAAGGCCTCGGGCAACATGTCTAAGAATTTTTACTTCATTCTTCTTGTAAACAATTTATAATCTACTGCTCTTAAGAGTTTTAAATCTAAATTAAATTATTATTCATTACTTCGCAGAAGGCTTTCAGATTCAAACTAATATTTATGATATTTCTATTTCCATCTACTTACATTTGATGATGACATCATCTGCTGAATAAATTTCCAATTTGCCCTTTGTGGAAGGTTCCCACCCGGCCACAGCCTCCTTTGATAAAATCCATTCAGCAGGTACAGCAACTTCTTTGCATTGTTTCTTCTCGGAGATGTTTTCTCCATTTACTTTGCATTTCCATTTGGTCCTTTTCTGTGGGCGACTTGCACCTTCATCTTCCACATCATCATCACAAGACACTGTATTTAGAGAAGCACCAAAGAGACGGATACCTCCTTCAGTATCTTTTTTAATTTGACATGTCTTTGATGAAATATCCACTTCTTTGATTTGGCTGGGAAAAAAATGCTTTCTAAGGATTTGTTTGGATGATAACTTAGAATAATATTAAATTGTAATTAAAATAACTACAGTTTATGATGTATAAAAGTAAGTTACTTATTCAAAGTACTTTTACAAAACTAAATCTCAACACTATACAAATTTTTCAGAACACTTTATTTGAATATAAATTAGGTGAAAAGGTTTTTACAATGAAAAATACAGACTGCATGTATTAAATACAATTAATTAAAAATAGTTCTTTGCCCTCACAAAATTTTAAAAAAGCAATCCTATTCTTCTTTATTGACAAAATATTTGAAACTGTAACAACTTTTATTTCTTATCTGCAGCTTTGATACTCTTTGAAGGTTGTTTGGCTGGACATATCAAAATTAAAAATCCCTAAAGAAATTTCACCCCCAAATTTACTACACAAAGAAAAACACCAAATGTCTAAAAAACGATAACATTTTCTTTGCTCTATACTCTTTGCAAAATTCCATTAGTGCCTGAAAAATTAGGATGCTGTAGCATGTGTAAGAGTTATGTTTTGCAAAATTTTCCTCTTAGTAAATATTTTGTTTTGAATTTATTTTTTCCAATAGGCTTCAGTTTAGCTTAATTTTGAATATTAGTTCCAGTTAATTCCTACAATTTCAAATGTTTTGTCATAACTCAAAATATTGAAAATTGTATGTTTTGCAAAAACAGTCATTATCACTTTCTTATGTAAATTTTAATTTTAACTATGTAAAAGATGTACAGTACCTGTCTAGAAACTTCATTAACTGCCCTCCAACATATTTTTGAAATCCCTCAGTAACACCCATAAGATTTTCTTCTTTGTCTTGGTAACGCAGGGATGGTTTTGATATATGTGGTTTGTCATCTATAATTTTGTACATTACAATAGTAATTAGAGCATTCACCGTCTCACACACAAAATAAAATATAACCTATATTGGTAACAAAAATTCACCTTTGCGTTTCTTGGGCTCAAACATATCATTATTAAGAAATTCATTGTCAACAGCCTCACGTAGACGATCCAATGTTTCGTCTTCTGAAGAATCAGAGCTCATTCCAACTTCTTTTCTTAAAACTTGGTGAGAACGGAATTCTTTTACTGCTATTATATCCGCACGTTTTCTTGAGCCCCGGAATATCTACCCCACTCCTTTCCTAACATTAGTTGCATTAAGAACACATAATAGCAATGAGAGTTGTGAACCTAATCTGGTGACGAGGAACGTTCGCTCCCATGCATTAAAAGCTATTTTGCAGGGAAAAATGAACTACAAATTCAAAGTAAAATTCAGTTTGTCAAAATAACCAAACTCCCCACTTCTCTCGCATCTAGCGAAGCGAGGGCTCAAGAAAACGTGCGCGAAGAATATCTGAATTTTAACTTTTACAACGTAATACAATTTACACAAAGTCAAAAATGCTGTATAATAATCTAAACAATCAAGAAATTCACACGGGAACACTTGCAGAAGTGTGCGACTATTTATGAAAGTCACAGAAATTCAACAATAACTGGTAACAAACTCAATTCACACGTCGTCGATCCGTTTACAGCAATCTTGTAAAGAAAATAGTTCAGCCTTTCCCGTGCTGTCACACTTCGCACACGTGGATATAATATATTAGATGATATTACAAAAAAATACGTGCCCAGCACCTGACCAGTTGATTAATACTTCGTATAAAACATCCGCCATTAGATGGTTGTAAATCCGTCCAATAAGAAAATTATCTTTTTAAGCGGGAAATTTGAATGTGCATTAATATTTTTTTTTGAGGTAGTGACCCTATGAAATGTTTGATTAGTTCTATTTTTTTGTTGGTGAACATTGCAATTAATAAAATATGTAAAAACGTCTACTTTTTGCAATAAGTTATATCTTAATATTTAAAAATTATTTATGACTACAGCAGATGGGAGAAACACTTTAAGAGATAAAATAACTCTTTTCAAATTATATCATTTTATTTATCACATTGAAATGTTTTGGGGATGATTGTACCTAAACTTGATTCATTGGTAGGATAAAACTCCGCAAGTAACCTGAAAATTTCTATAAGATTTTCGTCGCTAGCCTTTTCCAAGTTGTTTCTGGTTCGGGTGTAACTGGTGTAAAGTACTGGTGTTCGCACATACATCTGTTTGGTAAAACGCTCAAACATGCGTTTTGTTGGTTTGAAACCCATGCAACAATATTTGAGTAGTACTTGCTGAAATATTTAATATAAATTCTTTGATTTTCATAAAGATATGGAGCACAATATTATATTTTAATACGCATTTTATATTCATTATTAATTTATCCTTGTATGAATTCTCATGCGCATAATAGTTAGCAACATTTCAAGCTGCATTTTACTGCAAAACTGTGTCTTCACAAAATTCATGACTCTAAAAGTCGGTCCACGACAGGATTGCTCACAGGCAACTCAAACTCAGTGTTAACGTCGATATGTTTTTTTTTTATTTTTTTAAAATACATGTCGTAATCTGAAAACCCGCCCAAAACCGCATATGATATTTACCGCATGTTAGTTACCGCATATGTATTTTCGCCCATTGGGCGGTATTCTGCGAAGTGAACTTTTGCCCTTGATTCGTCCAATGAATATGAGTGTGTATTTGCAGGCACTGTATCTACTCTTCTGTATTTATACACCTGGCTTTCATCCTGGTATATTTCTCCATATTTATTCACATCTCACTGATCTTTATCGTTTTTGTGGAGGCATGCAGCCGTTGGTGGCAATTTCAACCACAGCGTGCACGTGCGAGGGGGGAATATATTATTCCCTGGTGCAAAACTCAGTCAGAGACGTTTCGTTTTTCACATGTCGCATTATATCAATCGCAGTAATTGTTGCACATTTTGCATGTACACTAAAAGTCTGACTCGGGAGTCTGTGATGACAACCGTGTACAGCGAATCGGGTCATCAGATGTCTCAGTTCATTATTTAATTTTGACTTGTTTTCATTTGGATGTTGTCATTGCGTCTGTAAAGTAAAATTATTTCCATATCAATTTATTTTTCCTGCCAACTTCTTGCATTGCTTCTTCGTAAGCATTAGTGGACATCTAGAGCAGCTGCATTTGTAATTCTTTAATATAGAAGGGTTTGGTCGTGAAGGTGAATATTTCTATAGACACATCATCTTCTCGAGGAAGGTCGATTTTTCTTAGTTTATTGTTGGAAGATTTCTCATCAATAGGTGTGCCCTGATGAGATGGAGTCCGTATACAACCACTGGAGTAATCTTCGTCCATAATAAGTGTAGTACTGTATCTAATGATAGTTTGTTTAGGAGCCTGATGTCATTCATAGTGTCATGGATTATCATGTGTCTTTATAAAAATCAGCACAAAAAAGCGAAAGGAGCACGTAGGTGAGCAACAATGGAGGTCAATATTGACGAGAAAATTAAAATATAAATAAAGAAAAATATAATAATAATAAGAATGACAATAATAATAATAATAATAATAATAATAATAATAATAATAATAATAATAATAATAATAACAACAATAATAATATATGTATTTGCTGGTAATTTTATCTTCTGCGAGACAATGTGCATGTCTAAAGGGAAATATTTGTAACGTAAGAAATCACCTGAAATTCTACCAAAAGCAACAAATTAAGGGTTAACATGCAACATAGGATGATGCAGAAATTAAGAGAAGAATTTCCTTGATTTTACGTTAATTTATATATTTGAAAATTAGCATTTATTTGTAAATGAGACAATACTATTGAGACATCCTTTAACAGCAAAAACTACTTTTAAATCTGAATATAAAACGCGTGGTGCAAGTTTCAATTTCAACTTGCCATTTAAATTAATTTCGTATATAATTTTTGAGATAAAATAGGTCATTTGTGATATACGAATTAATCCAGAATTACACGTTCAACTTAGAACGTTACAGTGAATGTCATGAAACGATTATAACTCGGCTGCTTCTGACATAAGCTCGTCATCAAATTTCGCGGTTTTTCGCGCTCCGATCCAACTAGCCAATCAGAGTAGCCTGGTACTGAATGAATGTAAAGTTTCTTTATATATGCCTAAAATGCAGTAGTGGATGATGCCAAACTATAGTGCACCGTCAATTTGAGATCAGTCAAGTAAATCAGTGGTTCGATTTAATTATGAAAGTCAGTGATTGTCAGTGGGGATATTTTAAGGATTTGAAATATACCATTTTACTCTTTGGTTCTTCTTATTGGATGTCGAGTTCTCTAGTACTATCCCAAAGAATAAGTGGACTGCTGTGGTCCGTTGCCGGCGGGCTTATTTGGCGATTCAATCCTGATTCAATCTTCGTGATCGGTTCGTGCAAGTTGTTCTGTTTGTGATTGTGTATGTTGTACCGTTTGATCGAAAGAGTCAAACACCATTCATTCCATAGTTCCAAACTTCTGGCAACGTTCGTTTATTTCATGACTAATATTTCCATCAATTTGTTTTGAAAGTGTTAAGATCTTGTTATAAGATTTTGTAGGTATTTATGAAGTGGCGCTGAGAACATACTAAGATTGAAAGAAAGTTCGGTGTATAAGTAACTTTCAGAAATATAATGACATTTTCCGTATGTACTACAGGAGGTGAGCAATGGAGCAGATGAAGACACCTGTATCAAAAAAGAACCCAGCGTTCAACAGACTTTTGAAGAATACCATCGAAATTCCGGGTTCTCCAGCAATGCCATGTATTGGAATGGGCTCAGGTAAGACTTTCAACGCCTTATTTATGTAAATAATTGAATGATGGTGGTTTAATGCCTAAATGAATCAAAGTGCCTGTATAACACTGCTTTTTCTATGTAAATATTTACTTCTAAGAAGTTGAGGTTATTCTGATGTTAAAGCCAATGTACTCATAATTTTTCATCAATGTTATTTACATATCTCCTCCAATAAATCCTCAAATATTTGTTTGTATTAACCAGTACTTTTTAGAAGAACAGTATGTTTATTTGAAATTTATTATTACTTAAAATTTTTGATAATTTTTGTTAGTGAGTGCAGAGGAAGCAAATATGTTGAGTAGTTTTTTGATTATTATTATGACAGTCTTCAAATTATGAAAGTGTTGTATATTACTTCCTTAAATTCAAAGAATAAAAGATGACTTTAGATTTTTTTCCAAAATTTGATATCTTACATTTGGGAGGTGTTATAGAAATCAAAGAGCAATATTCATCTTTTCCTTAATTCTGTTATTCCCTGGAAGAATAATAATAATTATTTTTTATGACAGGTTTGTATGTTGACGAACTATTGCTTGTTATGTTGCTTTGTATATTCAAATATTTTGATGGACTTCTCTTTCTTTATAGTTTTTAACAACATTGTATTCAATTAAATAGTTCATATATACCAACGTATATACCAACTAAATGTTGGTAAATATATGTTGGTGAAGCAGATTACTTTCATTAATTAACAAAAACAATCCTGTGTGGAGTATATTCTAGAATGTAAAATTAAGGATATCCTTTTTGTTTCAGGTGTGAATGTCTATAGTTTTGCAAGATCTCCTATGGGTGGTCAGGCCAGATCACCTTGGGCAATTAAAAAGATCAACAGAAAAACTACTGCTCCTGAGTATGAGAGTAGATTGTTAGCCGAGGTTGATGTTCTTCGCAATTTAAAACATCCTAATATTGTAGGTTTTCGAGCAGTTGTTGAAAGTAAGGATGGTCACAAGTGTTTGGCCATGGAAGAATGTGAAACTTCACTTGGGGATCTTATTGAAGAAAGAGGTGAAACTTCCAAAGAACCCTTTGCTGTGGATAATATTCTGACAGTCGCCAGTGATATTTGTAAAGCATTGAGTTACCTTCATGATGAATGTCTTCTTTTACATGGAGATCTGAAGTCATTCAATGTTCTTATTAGAGGTACGAGGAAAGATTTTTCACTTTTTGCATAAAAAATGCAATAGCTGTAATACAAATGATTCGGTGTAATAGCCTGCCATTACCATCCAAAATGAGGAATTCCTTTTAACATTTGATGTCTGTTTCTCATTATTTTATTACTGATTTTATGCCTTCTTTTGAGAAATTAATATTGTGAATAAACAAAATTGTTTGGAGATGGTAGTGACAGCAAGTCTTCTCTATTTTGGGTCCACTGGAATGCAAATGTATACTGTTGAGCTTGTCTTGCATGTCTGGATGTTCTCATAATAATTAGAAAGATCATTTTGGGGGGGGGGGGGTGTAATTTTAGTATTATAGAAAGTGCTTCAATGTAGTTAATTATAGAACTACTACTAATGTTACATCATAATGACGTTGAAGCTGATTCTTAACATTGCTTCTTTTGAAATATTTGTTGTATAATTTGTTCTGTTGGTCATACACAAAATATTAATTAATAATACAAATATTAGCGCAACAAATTCTGATAAGCCCCTACGAAAATAAAACATACAAAATCAAGAAAACCAACCACAATATAAAAACTTCATTTGTTTGTATTGAAAACTCTCATTTCAACCCTCATAAACACACACAAAGACAGCTCAAGTACAACATAAACGTACAGTAAAATCAAACTTTCTTTCCATCTTTATCACTTGTTACACATTTGTTACTTTATTACCCAAACAAAAATTTATGTTACTAGCAATGAATATATGAGTTTGAAATTGATAAACTAAAAAATGGGGAAGGTTAATCTTTGGGCACAC